CTTTAAGCCCTTTTCTTTTTTAAAATAGACCATCTCACAGTAGATGTCCTCTTACAATCTTTCCAACCCTCTTCCATGATACTCTCTGAGCCTTGGATGTAGCAGTTGTGTTACAAATGTATTAATTGGTGTGGGTACCTTATGATAAGTTGATGACTGTGCTTTGACCAGCCATAGCTTTCAAATTATCAAAGCATCTCATTTTCCCTTCTTTTTATTTAAAATAGAAACAAGCTTGTTTTACATGTCAATCCCAGTTCCCCCTCTCTCCCCTCTTCCTCTGTCCCCCACCGACCCCCCCATCCCATCCCCTTTCTGCTCCCCAGGGAGGGTGAGGCCATCCATGGGGGATCTTCAAAGTCTGTCACATCATTTAGAGCAGGCCCTCGGCCCTTCCCCATGTGTCTAAGCTGAGAGAGTGTCCCTCTATGTGGAATGAGCTCCCAAATTCCATTTGTATACTAGGGATAAATACTGATCCACTACCAGAGGTCCCATAGACTGACTCCTAACTGACACCCAAATTCAGGGGGTCTGGAGCAGACCTATGCTGGTTTTCAAGCTATCAGTCTGGAGTCCATGAGCTCCCCCTTGTTCAGGTCAGTAAAGCATCTAATTTTTAAGGTAAATATTACTATATTTCATTGTCCATGTTTACTATTGGTGTCTATGACTTAATACATTTGAAATCCATCCATAGTTATATGGTTTTTGGATATAATGACCATGTAAAAATATTCCATTTTTGCTTCTTCTAAAAACACAAGGAAGAGTAATAGCCCACTTGAAGAAAAGCATGTTTAACTAAGGATGGATCTGAGATGGGTCACTTGCAAGTATGGGTCTATAAATTTCATGCACAATTGCCCACACCTGCTTTCTAAGCTATGTCCATCTAACAGGGAGCTCATCAACCTTAGTTATCATGCAGGGAATGAGGTTTATGTGAACAATGTCTTCACTGTGTTAAGCCCCTGAGCTTCTACAACACCCTATCACCAAACCCCAACCTCTGCTAATTAATATTAAAATAGAAATGTCTACATTGTCCCTGATACATCTGGTTTTATGCTAGCTTGCAAGTGCCTCATGTTCATCATTTATAAGATCAGATCATTGAATCAGAAAATGTCTTAAGTTTTTCCAAGCCACAAATTATACTTATGAACTCACTAAGGATTTTCCCCTGACTTTTCTTCAAAATGATGTCCATATTTACAAATCTGTCTTTCCATTCAGCCACCTACCCAAATGAGTTTTCAATACATTTATTTTCTCATCATAGGCTTTCCTTTTTTGAAACTCGTTTGGAGAAATGACCGGTTCTTGCTCTCATTGTAAAATTCAAAGACAACAAGATCTTTGCCATGTTTAGAAGCCATTCTTCCCTTATGCATCAACTAAAATATCAAGGATGAAGAAGCTGCTCATACTGGATGTAAAAGGAGCGATGAAACATATAGTTTAGGAGAGAAAAAATCCTCTTGAGAGTTATATACCTGCCACTTCAAACTACTGAGAAATTAGCAATGCTTTTGTAAAGTATATACATCACTGACCAATGGGATATGTTCATGAGATGCAGATATTACATATAAAAAATTCTCCCCACCAAAGAACTTTTAGTAATTAGACAAATACTGGATCTTTTGGATTTCCTTGTTCTGTGCAAATTCACATTCAAAACTCAAAACTTTCCTCATGGAGGACAACATATGGAATAACTAAGTCTCAAGTTTGAATTCAGAGCCATTTTTCTGTTACTATCCCAGGATATAAAATACAGCTGAGAATAAAGTCAGAGCATAAAAACAAACTCTCCTTCCCTGAGCTCAGATAACAGACGTGTAGCCAAATGGCATTTAACCAAGCCTTCTAAAATGAGTAACATGGTGTGAGCGCTGTTCCCCTGGGGACTTGATGAAAATGAGATGTCTACCACTAGGGTACTCTAAGCAAAAGCCCCGATTTAAAGGCAAATGCAGAAAATTGCAGGCATCTAAGAACAGCTTAAACTGAAAAACTTGTGTTTACTCCAAAGACGATAGTAAAAAATTAAAATTTATTGAATGCCTATGATTCATTCTTTCAGCAACATTTATTGGTTGTAAATAAAGTGCCAAGAATTGTGTTAGATGCTTTCAGATGAACTGTCCCCTTTAGTCAAGCGTGATATGAAGTACAGATTAATTTGTAGATTGTTGATGTGCCTGGAGCCACACAATTAACAGACCCTTTGTACAAGAGGCATTTAAGAGTGTGCTGTGTACTGGTGCACTAGGGTAGGCCCTAAGAAGCCCAGGGTGGGAGTACTAATTAAGGTCTTTATACCAAATGGACAAAAGCTTGCAGACATTATAAATATTAACGTTCTGGAGTCAATTATCATAGGCTTGAGAAAGTTGACTGTATGTCAAGCTTCCCAAATTCCCATTTAGTGACATTGCATTAGTAGACTGAAATAGGTCAGCCTAACCTCATTCTGACCTTTGACTACAATCCACAGCAAACATTACTGTGGACTGGACATTTGCTTTCTGTTAAGCATTTACTAGCATGGCATTGTGTATAAAATCTGACTATTGAGTAAGTTCTGTCCTCTAAATTTGCAAGTTATCTTCACTATAACCAAGAATGCAAAGTTTAAGTTTATTCCCAGATTCTTTTTTGTTCCAGGCCAAAATTTAACAAGAGTGGGGAAGAAGCAGTTCTTTAGATCCCAATCTCCAGACTGCAACCTGAAACCCTTTATTCTTCCACTTCTTCTCATATCCCAATTTTCATTATGAGCTAGGAAGTTCAGGTGAGCACATATGGATGTTCTAGTATATTCCTCTAATGTCATTGATCTATATACCATCTGCTTTGACACATTTAGGTACAGAACAACTACTTAGAGCACCTTGGCTTTGAGAGAGTATCCAGACTGAGAAGTGATATGCAAAGACCCAGCCAACCATGAGGTGGTTCCTACTCATGGCAGGTGGGCCTGGACTATATAAGAAATTTAGTTTAGCACTAGCCACAGAATGAGCCAGCAGGCAGCATTCCTCCATGCTTACTGCTTGAGTTCCTGTCCCCACGTCCCTCAACAATGAATTATTCCTCCACTTATATGTTGAAATAAACCATGCACCTTTTGGTCATGGAATTTATCTTAACAACAGAAAGGGAACTAGACCAACATATATCTAATTAAGGGTTAGTATCTGAAATATATATTGACCTCAACTCAATAGCAAGAAAACAAATAGTTTGATTAAACACAGAGAGAAAACAGGACACACAAATGGACAATAGGCAAGTGAACATCATTTCAAAAATGCCTAATAACTAAAGGTGTAAACATTAAGCCATAAATTATATGTCATTCCATGCTATGAGAGGTGTTTGTCCAGAAGATTTAAAAGTAAGTTTTTGAAAAGATGTGGATAAAGGGGATTTTTTGAACACTTTGGGGAGGCAGGATATGAATAAGTTCAACTATTATGAAAAATAAGATAGAAGTGATTTAAAAATTAAATGAAGAGCTGCTACATGACTCAGCAACACCACTACTAGGTGAACAGTGAACTAACAGGAAATCATTAAGTCCAAGGGCTACTCTGAGAGAACCCTTCCAGGAAGAGTGATGCTGCTTTTGCCTGCTTGTGTTACTTATCTGCCTATTTTGCTTGTGGGAATTAACTCTTTGTTTACATTTTTGGGGCTTTCGTTTTTGTTTTTTCTTTTGTTGTTGTTGTTGTTTGAGACAGGGTTTCTTTGTGTAGCCTTGGCTATCTTAGAAGAAGCTCTGCAGACCAGGATGACTTCTAACTCACAGAGATCCTCCTGCCTCTGCTTCCCAAATGCTGGGATTAAAGGTGTGAGCCACCACTACCCAGTGTTCTTTATTCAAAAATTTTCAAGCTTTACCTATTGGTAAATTTGTTGTTTCTTTTATTTACTCATAATATTAGAAGCCATGGCTGTGTAACATTGTTTTTCAACAGCTTTGTTGTATATATGTACTTTTATCATATCTTTAAAATTGTTTATGCTTTGAAACTATAATTACATCATCTCCCCTGTCCCTTTCCTCCCTCTAGCCCTTCCTATATACCTTGCCTTGCTCCTTTTCAAATTCTTCACCTCTTTTTTCATTAACCACTTTTTTTAAAAGCTGGAGCAGGATTTACTTAATTTATTCCACTAATAGTTACTACAGCACAGGAGATGAAGTAAAAATCACTGCTTTCTGTTTCATTTGTGTCATAAATTATTAAGACATAGCTAGTTGATTCTTTCTGGCATCTCTATAACTTCTGTTCCCGTGGGTTTTCAATGCTGACAGCATTCAGGATTGCACCCACATCTACACCCCCCTTCTGTGGGTGAAAACTGAACCTGCTCTTACTTTCCAGGATATTGGGTGTCAGTAACTTAACTTGCAGACTCTAAGTAGGAAGTCAAGTTGAGGAAGTGATAGAGGGTTACGGTTGATATTTTACTATGAAATCAACTGACAAATCATCATTGGGGGATGTGGAGGACATTACAATACTGGAGGTCACCTGGGAGCTGGGCCACATGACTTCCCTCTTTGATTATGGCTTTTGTTTATTCTTGTCTCATCTCCCAGCTGCACTGAGTCCTTGAGGCAAGAAGTAACAAGTTGCAGTCTGGGATGTGCTGTATCTTCTTGGGAAGCCTGACGTTGGTGGGAGGAGGCCAGAGGACTCCTGATCACTTTCTAGATTTTAGTTACCACCCAAAGACTCTATTTTAACATAATGGCTCCAGTGTAAAGAACTGGGTCTTGGGAACTGTCCAACAAATCCTCCGTGTACTAGGCCATCCTGCAAGTTTAAAAAGCTTGTCAGCCAAGCTCTGGATCCCTGGCATATGGCCCACCCCGGCCTTTCTCTCTTGTTGCCCTAAGGGCTCTGTGTTATGAGTCAAATCACTGGGCAACCAAGTATCTTCAGAAGAGCCTGAGGCTCTCTAGCAGCTACTGTTTACTCCAGACAAAACTGGAGAAAGGGAGAGTATCTAGCGAAGGGAGGCCAATCCCAGCCTTTCGAGCAGACCAGTACAAAGTTCTCTCTAAAAACATTTCGGTTGCAATATTCAGTGATCAAGCAGACGCTACTGCGCCTGTGCTCAGGTGAGAGCCGCCAGCTCCTCCCTGCCCAATGCATAGGCTTCTTCTCCAAGTGAATTTTGCAATAGAAGAGCTGTCTCTGTGGACAGGTGGAAACTGTCTGCTTGTTCCTGTTGCTGCAACTGGCTCAGGCACAGGAGACAAGACAGGTGAGAAATACTTTTCTTTTTCTCTGTCGATTCGGAACTGGTGCAAAGCTTTGCTTGAGCTGTTTGAGTTTGTGGTTTCCGGAAACCTGTTGGAGTACTTTATCTTGCTAACTGCTTCCCCTGTAGATAACGAAAGCTCTTTATTTTGTTTTAGTGTTCTTGCTATCAATCAAAGAAATGCTCAATCAAAGAAATGGCTGCACCTTCATATCTAGCTACCCTTTTATTTTTCCACTCTCAGTTGTGTCTGTGGTCAGGGTCAAAGCATAGCAGCAAGGACCACAGTGGCTGCCAGGGAAAGCTGACCAGTAGAGTGGAAAGTGGGGGTAGATGTGACTGGAGCAGGAAAGTTTTTTCTCCAAAGGATATCTAGGACCAGAGCTGTGGCTTCCTTTATGTGATATGTTCTGTGTGGTTTGATAGTCAGAGAATATATGATAACTGAGATTATTGAACTCAACTCTGATGACTGAGCGGCCCCTGGATTAAACTTTGTGTACAGGGGAAAGAAAGAACATCTACATCAAACTCCAGGAACATGTCATTCACAGCCCTGTTGAAGCATCAGGCATCTGGAATAGGCTCGATTTCTGGAATGTAGTGGATCTGATTGCTTCTTGGCAGCAAGTCTTTTCCAATTATGTGTGGCTTAGTCTGATTGTCAAATTACTTTGCAGTCCCCAAACTGATCCAGGATGTCTGTAGAAGGGACAGAGACAGCTCTGTCTACAAAGCTGATTGTGATGGAAGGAAAGTTCTAATGAAATTTTTTGAAATGTTCTCTTAATAATCCACAATCCAGCCAAAAGGAAGGCAATGCATACTATTCCTTGGCCCTTTGTTGAGCCAAAAGAGCCAAAAGTAGCACGCTTCTCTAAAAGTCTGGTCATTTAAGGCCTGCCTACAGTGTTGTTTTGTTCCCTTGATGCTGCTCAAGAAAAGATTTAATTAAAAACATAAGACTTCTCATAATCAATGTATGATGAGGCTGTAAGAATTTAGAAACTCTCTTTTGTGCTCTCATCCCATCAGTAAACAAGAAACTTCCCAATCTCAACTCTTACTGAATTATTTTAACTCCACTGTGATGAAGTTAAAGTTTCCTTTTTACCAAGTACAAAGCACATTTTTGAATGAAGTCTGGTACTTTAAACAAGATAACAAGCAGAACAGTGAACTTCTTGGGGAACACCAAGTGGTTTTTCTAATGGTTCCACAGAATCCATTATTTGTGTGAGGGTACAGTCAGGGATGATCATATGCCTCAGCCACTTATCCAAACAAGTTAAGATTAGAAATGAATTTTAACAGATTTGAAGCCCCCAAATTAAAAGTTTATAGGTGGTTGATATCATGAGTTAGAGTATGTAGTCCAATGTTTTTGAGCTTAAGTATTAGTTAGGCACCATGAGTACAACCCAGTCAACAGCAACTTTTCCAAAGACAAATGTATATGTCTTAGAGGTTGAGTTGTAAGTGAATAATATTTTTAAGCCTCAGTGATATAAAGTTTGGGGAAAAAACCCAAAACCCTTTTTCCTACTCTTTTCTGCAAAAATAAAATGTCTGATAGTCAAGTTCACTAAACAAAGACCTTGAGAATGAGCCACCCTTTTAATAGAATCATGTTAATAAGCTGAAAGTATTCCCTGGAAGATGATACGAACATAATTTTCCATGATGCAATCATGGATGATCAGATGGAAACTCACAGACATTGGCATCTGATATGTCCATGGTGTTCTTGTCTGATGTTACTAAAATATCCTGTGGGGTCAGTGATCTACATTAGTACTCTGCAGATCTAACTTTGTGTATAGTTATTATGAAGTTCCTGCATCATGTTGTCAATCCTCTTTATAGATGATTACCCCAATTAGTTATTTGATTTCTGTATTCTCTTTTATTAGAATAGACATTTTCACCAAGTATGTTTATACCAGACTAATCAACATAGGTTTGAAGTAATCTCTCCCACTAAGAGAGTGGGTGTAGATAAACCACACAGATATCTCTTTGCCTCCATTTTCCTGCCTGGCTGTGTATCTAACAATGGCACTGAAAGCAGGAACATCAGCTTGTTTCTATCTGGCTCTAAGAGTCCTAGTTCCAGCATTTGTTTTGTTTTTAAGAGCAGTACACGAACTAAGTTTTACAGCTGCTTTCTTTTTTTCTCAAAGAGAGCAAGGGAAATTGATGATAAATTTCAACATATAAAATTAAGACACAGAAAAATGCCTACACTCACACCTATTTCTGAAGTAGGATCACGTCAAAAACAAGTTAGTTGTGACACACAGAGTTCCCAGGTAAAGTCCCCAGCCCTGAAAGAGAGTGGCAAATAATTAAGAAGGGAGCATGCACATGGTAATACTGTGGAGTAAAAAGAAAACTCCTCCAACAGATAAGATGCTGCCAGGACCCAAGGGCTGTTTTACAGGCCAGGCAGGACTACGCTTTCCCACCACACCCGATATAATGTTTCATAAGCTAACAATTCTGTTTCAGAAAACCAAAATAGTAATAAGCATAAAATAAATATTTTCATTTTACAAGTGGAGTGTCTGCTGTTTTCCTGTTCTTCTTAGAAACATAATGATGTGTCACTAACCAAATTCCCAGGATCCTTTGCTAAATTCAATTGCAAGTTGGGTGAGTTAGAAACAGAGGTCAACAAATCCTGTGTGTAACAAGCCTGTGGCTTTTCAGGAACTTTTCTTTTAAATATTTATGATCATTAATAGCCTGTTTCTTTTTAATTTTTCATATTTATCCCAATAAAAATTCAAAGTTAGCCAAGAAAAGTTAAAATAGGGAATGAGTTGCCTACCTCACCATGTTTTTGTTTGAATTATCATTTACATTCATCATGAAGCTAAGAAAACTATGAATTGCAGAAATGTCCCACCAAGTTCATACATAGACATCCAAATTGTTTTATTTTAGTGAAACCTAAGTCCTAGTGCTTCTTCCATGACCTCCCCCAGGTAGCCTCCATTCCTCCTAATACTGGTGTCTGGGGCTTTTCTTGTCCCAGGTTATGTTTTTTTGTTTTTTTTGTTTTTGTTTTTTTTTAACCAGATGGGATCCGGACAAGGCTCAGGTCTCTATAATGACTGGAAACCTCTGTAGTCCAAATGCTCTAAATAGAGGAAAAGGAAAAAAAATATAGAAGAGATAGATGAAAATTTCAAAATAGACTGTAATAAGATCACTATATGTCTGGGTAGATGTCTGCCATTCTGATCATTTCACCAGTGGATTTTCTCAGGTTTTGTAGAAGTTGACAGCAGGGCGTAATGCCATCTCTAAATATAGAAACCATGTTCATCATGATGGAAAAATCTGTCCTACAAGAGTATCCATTAAGTAACAGTGCTTCATATGCCAAATGGAACAACTATCATTTCAATCAGAAAAATCTTAAACAGGAGCTCCAGACATGGCTTGGCACATAGAAGGGATTACTGCTCTATCTGAGGACAGAAATTACATCCCAGGACCTAGACAATAGACAACTCATAAATACCTGTTCTCCAGCACCAAGGGATCTAACACCGCCTTCTGGACTCAATGGGCATCAGCACATACACTTAAATAAAGATAAATCATTTTAAATGAGTACATTGATAAATATGTAATAGAGATGAGCTAAGCTTAGAACACATGCCAATGCACATGAAACCTGGATGATAAAACAAAGTGAGAAATTTTTTTTCATAAGGTAGACCCTACTATCATGCAAGAGTGTCCAAACTTTTGACATTGTGACACAATCTGCTGGCTAGTTGTTTGCCAACTTAACACAATCTAGAGTCACCTGGGAAGACAGAACTTCAATTGAAAAAATGCCTGTGGGCAAGTGAGTGAAGAATTTTCTTGATTACTGGCTGATGTGGGAGGGCCCAGCCTACCTAGCCAGATAGTTCTGAGATATATTTAAAAAAAAATAAAAAGTAAGCTGAACAAGCCATGGAGAACAAGCCACTGAGCAGTGTTCCTCCATTGCCTATGTTTCAGTCCCTGCCTCCAAGTTCCTGTCTTGAGTTCTTCAACTGACATCCCTTCATGATGGACTATAAGATGAAATTAACCCTTTCCTCTTCAAGTTGCTTTTGGCCATGGCCTTTTTCACAGCAATTGAAAACAGAGGAGGACACTATCTAAATGTGTACCTACCAGTGGAATAGGTGAATCATAGGCAGTTCAATTCTTATTTTTTGGGAAAGCAAATTCTACACTATTTTGCTTAATAGATGTACCTACCAATTTATACCCCTTAGTGTTCTTCATTCTCTTTATCTTTGGCAACACTTAAAGACATTCTATAATACTGAGTGTAACAAGGGTAAGGAGATTTCTCATGGTGGTTTGGGTTTGTAGTCTCTGAACATAATTGCCCATTTGTTCACCGGCATCCTGTCCATTTTTTCATCTTCTTTTTGAGAAGTGTCTGTGCAAGTCCTCCCATTATTAAGGGAACTTGATTTCTTCCTGCTGCCTTGTGTGCCTTCTTAAAATCTTTGGTATGGTTTGCGAATGATTTCTGCCATTTTTGTAGCTTTATAGTTTTGGATCTTGTGACTGACACTGCTTCAGTCTACACACACACACACACACACACACACACACACACACACACGTTGAAATTTATGAGCTCCTTGTACTTATGGCTTCAGTCTTTTATTCATTTTGAGATCACTTTTGTCAGTCTTTTGAGAAAAGAGTCCAATTTCATTCTTCCAAATATGGACAACCAGTGCTCCCATCACTATTGAAGAGACCATCTTTTCTTCACTAGGTGTCTTGGAAATTTTGTCAAAGCTATATTGACAATATATACATAGGTTTACTTCTGGTCTCGCCAGTTTTCCAATTTTCATATCAGTGCTGTTACTTTTGTCACTATAGATTTACAATGTATTTTGAGATCATGCGGTATGATACCTCCAGTTTTGTAACTCTTTCCAGGTTGGTTGCTTTGACTATTTAGAAACTGT